TGCACAACTTTGCCATATGTTCCGGGGTTGACTTCGCATTTACTGAAAATGCTATGGTCGTAATAAATGACGTATTTGTGAAACGTACAGTTGTCTTGTTTTTTCTCAATTCTGTACATTAGTTTTAAGCTGCTACGACAGCATTAATGGGGTATTTTTGTTAAATGCTCTCGAGGAGTTTTAAAATTAATGAAATGTGATAAGTACATGTAGGACAGTTCATCATGTGCAGAACTTTTGCAACACCGAATGTGAAGAAAATACATATTATATTAGGAAAATTATGTTAGGTGAAATTCTCAGTAGTATATGAAATTCACAGACATTAGCTAAAATATCATAACAAATATAAACTAGGTGTTTCCATCGTTTTTCTTGATTATGATAAAATATTTGCAATCGTGAAGATTGGAATATTTAGTAAAGAACACAGTTTTCTAAATATTTGCTTAATGTTATTTTAGTTCAAGGTGCAGTATAAGATGCATGAAAATGCAGACTGTAAGTAAATCAGAGAGGCAAAAAGTAGCAACCACTGTAAACTTGTAACTGGACGAAGGTCATTTAAAGAAAGTCAATGAAAGCATTAGTGATTTTTAACAGTCAAAAGTATGGATTGCCTAACTCATGTCAACTTGTGTGGGATTCAGTTTTACAGTCTCGACTCCATTCCTTTCCAACTGGAAAGAGGTGCTGCTTATATAATAGCCATGTAGTAGTTGAGAAAATAGATTTGGGTCAAAGGGTAAACATACTGACCATTTACATGAGTATGGCAACAGGAGGCAGTGTGGCTAATAAGGTATTGGTCAAGTGGAGTCCCAATGAGGGTTGTGAAATGCAAAGTTCACGTGTCCTGGGATGCATGTTCTACAGAACATGGGCACATGTGAACTCTGTAGAAATGTCACTTGTCTAAAATGATCATATGATCATTTAACCTTAACCTAAAGGTAGTCTTTGGAGGAGAGTAATGAATATAATTGGGCAGTATGGCCCTTTTCCAATCTACACACCTAAATGACCTTTGAACCAATTAGTATCCAACTTACATTTTCAACCTGGATGTTTTTACAATGAAATCCTTGACTGTTCTGGTTAAGTGTTCTTCAACTAGTCATTAGTGATTTTCCTTCTTGTGTGCTGAATTCTCCAAGTCTATTCAAGCTGACATGGAAGGATACAGACTGATCACAGTAAAGAGTACCCTGAAATACTAAAGAAAACTATGGATCTTTTTGCCTCTACTGCTGACTTTGAGTCGGTAAAAGAGGCTCATTTGCTGGCAGAACTCTACAATTTGTAGTAAGTCATGGTAAGTAAAGCTGTAGAGGAAAGGTGAGATTAGTTTTGGCAACTTCTGATTAGGAACCTGACAGATCAAAAGAAATGTCTTGTACTGATACCAAAGTTAATGGACATGGCTAAGCTTGTAAATACTTTGGAGTTAGTGGTATTCAGAATGTTTTACAAGACAACATTTAAGAATAGAGAGCTGCAGATTGTGAGATGAATGAATTATTGTAAATACTTTTTCTACTCAAATGGTGAAAGGGAAGATTAAGTGTGCCTTAATCTGACACTGAAATACATTCCTGAATTGACGTATATTCTTTACATTATGAACGTAAACTCAAATTATGTATGTGTTTATATTGTGCATGTTCTTTATGAAGGGTTTGACTTTCCTTTAATATTATTGTTGTGTCAGCGAGATCACGTGACTATTCTCACGCCCTCTGCTTTCTAGAACTAGCCTGTACCTTGGCGAATGCTCTAGCATTTACTAGATATAGGG